TCCGGTGAGGTCACCGGAAGCACTTTTTCATCAAAAAAAGATGGCGGCGCCCAGCTGATGCCGGTACCGGGCCGCGGCGCCCAGCTGATGCCGGTACCGGGCCGCAGCGTAAAAAAGGTTGGGGATCACTGGTGTAAGGTCTCCTGCTTGGGCGGGGGGTTGGATTAGATGACCTACAAGGTCCCTTCCAACTCTGTTAATCTGTTATATCCGCTTAAGGGACGAATTTGAAGGCGTTCATCAGATGTCTTCAGATTTGGAGAAGTCTATGTCTAAATTATCACATATTCAGGGTGTATGGAAAACAAATGAATCATCTCAAAGTCTAAAGCGACCCGGGATTTGCCCCTCACCAGAGCTATTTTAGAAGTTGTGAGTAAAGATTTCTGAGGCCCGATGGAAAAGCTGCCTTCATCTTGGAGTTTAGTGGGCTGGAAATGTTGTGGAGAGGGGGGAGGAGGAGGAGGAGGAGGAGGAGGAGGAGGAGGAGGAGGAGGAGGAGGAGGCATCTCAGAGCAATTTTGAAGAGCTTTGGATCCAGTGGCTCCCTTAGAGGGAGGGGATGGGGATGAGATGACCAGGGTGGAGGACACCCTTTGCAGCAGAAGATCGCTTTCGATCCAGACCAAAGGATCTCCCCTCAGAAGAAGGTTTCAAATGAGGAGAGAAAAATGTAAGCTGTCTCCTTTCTTCCAATCCACACTCTTCGGATCTCTAGATGATGATGATGGTTAGATTTTTTTAGCCCACTGCTGAGATCACAAAAGTTGGAACTTCTTGAGAAGTAATCTAGTTGGGTGGGGAAAAAAAATATTCAACCTTCCAGGTGGGCACCTGTCTTCCTAGAAGAGAAACAACTTAGGTGGCTTCAGCATCTACCAAGACACCACTGTGGAGCTGTATTTCATGCAAACCTTCCCTCTCAGGACAGATGGTGGGAAAGGCAGTGGAGACCCTACCCATGGAGCAACACTGGGTTTGAGCTCACAGGAGCACTTGATGTGGATCAAGCAGAAGGCATCAGAGAAAGTTCCGTTCATCTTCTGTTTCATCCCACCATGGCCTCCAAAGAAGGTGACCCTTCTTATCAAGCAGGCCATCATCAAGTTCTTCCCTTGCCATCTTGTATGGCTTTTGAGACCTTGCCTAGTCAATCCTCATATTTGTTCATTACATACCACCGGAAGGGTGGAGTTCAGAAACAGATGGAAGCCCAACATGGTTTGAGTTGCAAATATAAATGAGATTTTATTTAACAGGGCCCAGGCTGAAGAACGTTACGGGAAGGAGTTGGTTCAGATCGCCCGGAAAGCAGGAGGTCAAAGCGAAATCAAGTAAGTCCATTTCGGTGTCACGTAAAAACCAATTATTTATTTGTTTATATTAAAAGTCTATGTTAAGTTATGAATTGATGGTTAGGACTCGTATCTAAGGGTTGATAGAATGTAAGAACCAGGATTGGCAGTAGCTAGTATTATTGACAAGATTATTTGGGTGGCTTTCAGTTAGCATTGGTTGAATTTCCATCGTTAAGTCATGATGATCATAACTTGACACTTATGTGACCTGATTTTGTGACTGTTTTGTAGTGGTTGTTAAGTGACTACCGCAATTGTTAAGTGAATGAGGAAATTATTAAGCGAAACAGTGTGTTCCTATGGATGTTTTTGACCCGTGCTGGCTGGGAGTTGAAGTCCACTTATCTCAAAGTTGCCACAGTTGAGAAGTAGCCGCTTGTCTATTCCTGCACTGAGCTGAAGGTTGAATCAGAAGACCTCCTGGGTGCATTCCATGATTCTATGACCCATCTGTTATGGACACCATGGCATCCATCTCCTCTAGGAAACCCAATCCTGGGTGGTGTATGGAAATTACGACAGCCTTCATTAGCCACAGCTGAGAAGAGAGTTTAAAAGAGATGCATGCTGAGTGTGGCAGCAAATGTGAGTTTATCTCGTGTTGACTTTGCTTATCTGTGTTCCTGGCATCTTCCCAATTGGGTTGAATTACTGCCATTCCTTCATGCCTGGAATTCCTTCTCTTGCCCTGCCAAACTAATTCCCTCAGTTTGGCTTGATTGGACTTATAGTTACAGTTTTTGTTGACCATGTTTTGGACTTGATTCTCTGCAGTCAAAGACTGTTCCTGGGGGAGTTTTTCTCCAGCCCAGAAGGTAACCAGGACATTGGGGGCAAAGTTGGAGCTAATAAAGGGACCCTTATTGATTAGCTGACTGGGTTGCCTTGGTGCCACGCCCCTTTGGGTCATCACAAGAACCACAGGCATGGAAGGCACCTTGGAGGTCTTCTGTTCCAACCTTCTGCTCAGCGCAGGCTCCGTTTGTCCAGCTGTCTTCGAACTCCACAGGGTGAGGGCTAGTTATGACCCTTCAGTGTCCAGAATCACTTGTTTGAGATGGGCAGCTATAGAAATTGAATGGGAAGTGAATCCTTCCAAAGTTTAGCTTGCAAAGAAAGGACACACAGGTTTCTCCCAACAGAAAGAATCCCAACCACCGGACAAAAATGGGAGTTAGCAGATGCCATTAGAGTTTCATTTCTTCAGGGTTTCTAATGCAGCCGAAGCGATACAAATTCTGACTCATAATAACAGGAAAAATAGATCTGCTGGTCTACTGTATATACTTCCTGTGCCAAAGTGCTTTATATAGAATCATAGCTGCAAAAGGAGTGGGCGGAGGAGGTGGTTGATCTGTTTCCTATTCATTGCAAGATTCATCCCTGCAAGAAACCAATTTCGGTTTAGATCCAGTAAATGATGGGGTGAGGTCTTAAAACCAACTGTTGTCCACCCCAGTGGGACTTCACTTGAGAGCTGAAGTCCAACTGGAGACTGGAGGCTAAAACATATCAAGAACGGTTGCTGGAATTGGGTAGGTCTAGTTTGATGAAAAGAAGGAGTAGGGGAGACATGATAGCAGTCTTCCAATATCGCAGGGGCTGCCCCAAAGAAGAGGGAGTCAAGCTATTCTCCAAAGCACCTGAAGGCAGGACAAGAAGCAACGGATGGAAACTCATCAAGGAGAGAAGCAACTTAGAACTAAGGAGAAATTTCCTGACTGGGAGAACATTTAATCAGCGGAACAACTTGCCACTAGAAGCTGTAGGTGCTTCATCACTGGAGGTTTCCAAGAAGAGATTGGACAGCTATTCATTCTGAAATGGTCTAGGGTTCCCTGCTCAAGCAGGGGCTGGACTAGAAGACCTCCAAGGTCCCTTCCAATTCTTTTATTCTATTCTATTCTGAACAGTGTTACCATGAAAAAGCAAGCTTGAAGAAGACAAGTAGTTCTTGATTTATGACCACAACTGGGGGTCATATTTCCAGTCATCTTGATACTACAAGTAGCCCTAGCGGACACATCTGGGGCTGGAATTTCCATTGCTAAGCAAGGCAGTTGTTAAGTGAGACGTGTCTGATTTTACAACTATTTTTGCCATGGTTCTTAAGCGAGGGCCGGTCATAAGTTACTTTTCTCAGAGCTGTTTTAACTTTGTACAGTCATTCAACAAATGGTTATAAGTCAAGGATCAGGATCAAACCGATTTGGGCTGCAAAACTCTAGCTAACCACCAGAGGGCAGAAGCACGAGTTTTCTATATTCTTTTAGTACCTTCTAGTGGTCGTATGGAGTTTTGCAAATCAGATATGGTAGAAGCAGAATATCTCAAGTGCTGGAACTTGGCTCCCTAGGAAGTTTTTTTTAATGGAAGGTCAGGTATTTCTCCTTTCCATTGTGCAACGCACAATGTGCGGTCAACAAGATTAGTTTTTCTTGGACGGAGGCTTTCTTCCTCCTCTATAAACTGACCCTGAAGATTGTTTTGAAGTTTTTTCTTTGCAAAACTTTTCCTCTTTCCCTGAAGAGAACCAGGCTGCATTCTTCATAATGTCTTGCTTAGCTTGTGCAAGCAAGCAAAATATTGTAGTGCTACAATCGGGCATCCTAAGTTTCTTGAGAGTGCAAAAATAGTAACAATAATTTAGTACTACACGAAGTAATGAATTTGGCAGTTGAAGCCCCATATCTTAAAGTTGCCAAGGTTGAGAAATGCTGGGATAGGATGGCATCAGGGACCGATGATTGTGGGCCCAGATTTCTCTGTTTTGGTGTTACTGGTTCCTGTGCTTTTATTTCTTGTGTTTTCATTGTTTTATAATCTATATCTTATTTTGGGACTGTTAGCTGCCCAGAGTTTCATTTTAAGATGGGTGGCTAGATAAATGTTTTCAATAAACGAACGAACGAACGAATAATCTGCTTCCCAAGGCAGCAGATGAGGCTCTAGTCCTCTTAATTTATTTTATTTTTTTTAAAGACAAAGACTCAATTCACAAAACTACTGATATCAGTTCCTGTTTGGTTTGGGGGCATAAAATGAGAAGTTATTAATGGTTCCTTGGCAACAAAAGGAACAAATAGTCCCAAATTACTGTACATGGGGAGTTTAACATCTCCCATTGTACACAAACCGACTTCCTATATTTTGCATAAGGGTAGCATAACGTAGGTCATGCTGCATTTTGAAAAATTAGAAAGCTTCACTTCTACTCCTAAAAATTAGCTTGCAGAATGCAAAAGAGGCAAGCAGAATAAGTGATGGATGGATTTATTTATTTTTGGCTGAGAGGAATGATTGCCTTCTCCGCAGATAAATTTGTCAGAGCAAATATCATACAAAGGATCATTTTTTAGCTACGCGTTTCCTCTTTGAGGGAAGGGATTGTGTAAACCTTGAAGCAATATAAGGCTTGGGCAATATTTTAAGGGAATCTGTCTGTCCCTTTCTTGCATCACAAAGCCCATCACAATCTGTTCCCAACGAGGGTGACACCAAGAGGATGAAACTTGTTGTGATGTCAACCATGCAACCTCAGTGATTTTTGTGATTCCGTGTTGCATGAAAAAGCACAAGGGACAGAATTGGCATTGCAGTGTTGAGGTGCATTTTTGCTTTTTGGTCTCCCCCTGCAAGGGCCTACGTTTTCCCCCCGCCCCCAAATTTTATGTTGGTTTATGATCGAAATAAAGATTTGAATTGATTTTCAAAGTTCTTTAGTCACAAAATGGTTACACAATTGTTGCAAAGAAGAGGGAGTCAAGCTATTCTCCAAAGCACCTGAAGGATGGAGAAGCAACGGATGGAAAGTAATCAAGGAGAGAATCAAGCTAAAACTAAGAAGAAATTTCCTGACAGTGAGAACAATTAATCAACTTGCCTCTAGAAGTTGTGCATGCTCCAACACAGGAAGGAGATTGGACAACTTGTTTGTCTGAAATAGTATAGGGTTTCATACTTGAACAGAGGGTGGGACGAGAAGACCTCAAACGTCCCTTCCAATTCTGTTATTCTGTTGTGATACAATATCTATAATCATTTCCTGTGAAAGAGAAATAAATTTAAACACCGAGGCCAAAATGCTAGAAAACCCTCGAAGTTTAAGCTGTTAAAAGAGTTCAGATCTAAACTCAGGCCACTTCTCGCAAAAGGCTGTAAGAAGATGTGATGGTGTAACATACTCACTTGACATATAAAATTTATTAGTGCTGTAGTTGAGAAAAAAACAATCACTTCTTCCTCAAAAGTCCACAATGGACTTTTGTTCTTGAATGATAATGTACTGTATCTAGAAGTTAAATGAACCTTAGTTCATCACTGACCTGACACCTGCAGGATGAATCCAGTGGTTACATGCGGTTAGTTAATGTGAATTTAATAAAAAGTTCAAAAGATACCACAAGGGGGCATTAAAGAAACACAAGAAACACATTTTATAAATCATTTTCATCAGGAGAAAAATAAACCTAAATGGAAATAATGTCTGTTGATAGGGATGGAAAAAGCACATGGGGACCAAGGTTTACTCAACTCACAGCCTCAGCAAGCACTGAATGAATACGCTAAATAGGAAGGAAATTAAACTGATTTAAAGACTGTTCCAATTAAACGGATTCATTGCTAAAAGCTTATACTGCAGGAATCTTCTGAACTCCTGGTCAGAACCTGCTTGGAGTTAGTTAAGGATCAATGGAATTTAAGGAGGGGGGTTGGACTTAATTTGGTTGTGGCTACATAGGGATTCTAAACTGAGCTCTCTCTTAACTTTTTACTGGTAGGGCCTTCTCCTACCAATATTAAACCTTTCACTTGGACTATTAGAAGAAAGATTAAAGGCTTTTCTTGGACTTTTATTTATTTTATTTTTGCATTTGTCTTATGTAATGGAGAAGTTTGATGTTGCCCGAAGATAGATAGATAGACAGACAGACAGACTGACCATATACTTGTGGTGGTGAACATTTGAAAACTGGCTTTGAATATTTTCTGAAAATTGCTTTTATGGATGGTGGGATTGTGGTCTTCTCCAGCCCTGGATGTCTAGAAATGTTGACACATTCCTGTTCTTGGAAATGTAATAGAGAACTTCAAGTTTGACGAAACTTTGGACAGGAAGGAAATTGATGAGTTTTGTTCTCTCTCCTCAGCACTTTAAAGGCTTCGTTTGAAATCCTAAAACTCCGTAAGTATATTAGCAAGTTCTATTTGGGATATTTCTAACTCCCTCTGGCAGCAAAATTAACGATTTTTAGAGAGTTTGTCTTTGAGAAGAATCTGGACAAATTCATACAGTGTTTAGGAAAAGACAGCTTCCTACTTTATGCTGATGGGCTTTAAGATTGAGTAAGGAGTGGCCAATTTTCACCACATATTCAATTTGAATTGCAGAACTCAGGCTAGCACCTAGATGGTGGAAGAGAGTGAGTGTTTTCTGTACTCTTTTAGTGCCCCCTAGTGGTGGAGTAGGAGAATGCTATCAATAGCAAAGGAGACGCCCAGAAATGAAGGAGAGGAAAATGGACTTTTGTTGAGTTGTATATAAAGGATATAAAGCCTCAGTGTTGCGTCAACCACATTTTGGAGTCTTCCCTCAGATTTCCCTGAACCTCTGATGAAAGTGCAGGACATCCATTCCCAGAATCCCTTATATCGGTTGGGGAGATTCTGGGAGCTGACGTTTCAGACATCTGGAAGGCACCCAATTGCCTAACTCTGTGTATATAAATTAAATGCTTTTGTAAATAATTAGAAATGCAATCACTGAACTAAGTTCACTTATAAAGGAGTATATTTGTAGCTAAGCGTTGACGTGAAAGGTTGTTTGGTGCTCTCTTGAGTTTTCTTGTTTTCTTGTAGACAATTCATTACCAAACTAGGTAACTCATCAGGACTAGAAGGGAGTGGAGTTTGCGCTTTTCTCTTCTAGTACTGATAAAGTTACCTAGCTGAGTCATCAAAGGTCTACAAGAAAACAAGCAAGCTCAGAGACCACCAAGGACCTCTCAAGTTCACTTAGCTTAGAATGTCTCAGAGGAGTCTAGAGGATTAAAATGGAGGCCAGGTTTTTTTTTTCACCTGTATGATGCGCATAGCATGCCCCCTCCAAAAGGGAGAGGGATTCCATCACCTGGACGCTCCCGTGTGTTGATGCTTGTTGTCCCCCTCACCCCAGAAGCCCCCTTAACCCAGGTAAGCAATGTTCCACGTCAAGAGGCAAGATATCAGGAAAAAGAACTCTCTGCATTTCATCCACAGAAATTGAAAGCGTGGGCAACTCTCATATCCAGCTGGCCCTCATGTTGAAAGAGGAACTAAAAGCCTTAGAAGAATTCCGAGAAAGGCAGAAGGAACAACGGAAAAAGGTGAGGCAGAAGCCGGAGCTTCCACGGGTAGAACAAATCAACACGATTTCTTTTTATCTATTAAACACATTTACGATGGTCATTGGGTGCGGTTCCAAAGGCTTTCAAGATTCGTTGATCCTGCCTTATTTCCATAAAGAACTTCCTTGGACACCCAAGCTTCTTCCTTGAGCGGTCCCCAAAAACGGTAGAGCCCCCCGCGTGGAAAATCTGCCTTGGGAATAGGACTTTGATAAATAGTTGGGACAGTGGTGGGATTCAACTGGTGTAACAACTGGATCGGTGAGCGCGCGATTTGCTAACTAATCGCCGGAACTACCGGTTCACTCGAACCAGTACAAACCGGCTGAATCCCACCCCCTGTAGTTGGACAGCTGGGTTCCCAGCTCTTGTGGAAGGCAAAAAATGACGATAGTTAATGCCATCCTTCTTGCAGTACGAGAGCACAATGGAACGAATACACAAGAACAAGCTCTTAATGTTCAAGAAAACCATGGAGGTAAGGAACTCGCTCTTGGAGGAGAAGATGTTTATACGGGAAGTCCTTGATTTACGACCGTAAATTGTGCAAATTTTTCTGCGTGCAGTCCAAGAAGGCCTACGATCAGAAATGTAAAGATGCTGATGAGGCTGAGCAGGCATTTGAGAAGATAAGTGCTATTGGAAACCAGAAACAAATAGAAAAGGTATCTCCAAGTTTCTTTTTTCTTTCCTTTCTTTCTCTCCTTGTCTTCCTTCCTTCCTTTCTTCTTCCTCCTTTTCTTCTTCCATTTCTTCCTTCCTTCCATTCCTTCTTTCCTTCCTTCCCTCCCTTCCCATACCAATGTTCTTTTTTTCACCTTCCAGAGCCAGACCAAAGCAAAACAGTCCAGAGACTCTGCCAATGAAGCAGGTAACATTTTAAGCACCTATGAAAACAAGAGAAACACACTTTATGAATCTCTGTGATGGCATCTCCCAGGCCTCCATTTTAACCATTTTAAAGCTCCAAGTACTAAATATCTGAATAAACCAAAAATGCAGTTGTACTGTTCATTAAAAACAGAGTAAAAGGCTGACTTGCAATTCAACATTTTGGAGGAATCTTCTCCAGATAAGCTCTTCTCACTTCACGATATCTTTTTTTTATCAACGAACCGCAGCATAGGTTCACTTTATCAATGAACCCGCAAAACACGAACCCTTCTGTAATTGCACTGCTTTGCTTTTTCTCATGCAGAAAGTGTGTATAAGCAGAACATTGAGATACTAGACAAGACAAGGACCACGTGGGAACAAGAACATGTTAGTACTTGCGAGGTAAGAAGCTGTTGTGTTCAATCAACGGAGAATTGATAAGGTTTGACCTTGATCATGTTGAGATGCTACTGGAGGTCTCTTTCCTCTCATCCAAGGGTGGACAATCAGGCACGTTCAACATGGCTTCTCTTGAAACACCCAACAGATGACCAGCTTGTTCAACCAAGTATTTGCTTCTCAGATACGGCCATAGTTGGCTTGCATCCCAATTCTTTTCATCACCCATCATAGTAAGGTATAGAATGTTTTATGGAGGTTGGCTTTAGGGATGTGGTTCCCAAACTCTGCGGGATGATACAGCAATACTTGACATCTGTTGGACACCATGCAAATTAAAAGCTTGGAGGCACCATTAAAAGCTAAAAAGATACCAAGTGTGCCAAGAACTGAGAAAGCTTGGAAACTTCTGGCTTTGGGTCTGTGGAGATCCTCAGTCATCCAGGTCCTGGTTCCTTTTTCAAAAGGCTTTTTCCCTGAAGATGTTTTGCTTCTCGTCCAAGAAGTTGCTTCTTCAGAACTGAAGAAGCTTCTTGGACGAGAAGTGAAAGGTCTTCAAGGAAAAACAAAGATTTTGAAAAAAAAAAAGAAAGAAAGAAAACACCCAGCTTGGGACAAAATAAAATTCTAAGAATTGCGATTGATAGAATATTTATTTCACTAGGCGAATATTATCAGTTCAATCATCAGCCATCATCAGTGTAGTTTATGGCTTCAGCCTGCTGTATGAAGCTGGCCAATTTTGGTCTATAAACCATGTTTTTTTGGCTTAGCTCGGTGTTATCATATTTTATGACAGGATCCATAACCCTTTGTCGGAAATGGTGTAGGGTTTCCTGCCTGAGCAGGGGGTTGGACTAGAAGACCTCCAAGGTCCCTTCCAACTGTTCTTCTCTTCTCTTCTCTTCTCTTCTCTATTCTTTCCTATTTCTATTCCATTCCATATTTTCTATGCTATTCTATATTTTCTATTCCATTCCATTCTGTATTTTCTATTCTATTCTGTTCTGTTCTGTTCTATTCTATTCTATTCTATTATTTCCTATTCTATTCTATTTCCTATTCCTGTTCTATTCTATTCTATTCTATTCTATTCTATTCTATTCTATTCTGTTCTGTTCTGTTCTGTTCTGTTCCATTCCATTCCATTCCATTCCATTCCATTCCATTCCGGTCTATTTTCTCTTCTCTTTTCTTCTCTTCTCTCTTCCCTTCCCTTCTCTATTCTCTTCTAGTCCATTCCATTCCATTGATCTTTACACACACACACCCCTTATTTAACTAGGCTTTCCAGCTTCAGGAATGCGATCGGATCACTATCCTACGGAATTCTCTCTGGGTTCATTGCAATCAACTCTCTATGCAGTGTGTGAAAGACGATGAGGTAAGAGAAGGCCCAGTGGAGGCAGTCCTTGGCTTACAAACAGTTCAACCACTAGAGAATTTGCTTTAAAAGCGATAAGCGAGAGCGCCTTTCAAATAAATTGACTTCCTCCCCCACCCCCTTTTTTTTCCCCGAAGCTTTATGAAGAGGTTCGGGTAAGCCTGGAAAACTGCAACGTGGAGTCCGATATGAACGCCTTCGTTCAGAATAAGATGACGGGAACGGAACCACCAGGTCTCTCTGCACAGAACTGCTGTTTTCTTCATTGTATCTTGAAAAAGAGAATGACAGCTGGAATATAATAAATAGGTCTAGGGCAGGGGTCCCCAAACTTGGCAACTTTTAAGACTTGCGGACTTCAACTCCCAGAATGCTGGAGAATTCTGGGAGTTGAAGTCCACAAGTCTTAAAAGTTGCCAAGTTTGGAGACCTCTGGTCTAGGGTGAGTGTCAGCAACCTGTGGCTCTAGAGCCATATGCGGCTCTTTGGGCCCTGTGCTGTGGCTCCCTTGTTGGATGATCCCACCACTGGCTGGCCACACCCCTCGCCCTCCCCTCCCATTCACTCCCTATCTGGACTGAGAAGGTAACACACAAAAAACAGAAATGAGAGGGAGGGAGGGAGTGGGACTGAGAGAGGGAGAGAGAGAGAGAGACCCATTTCCCAAGAAAACACCGGGAGCCACAAAACCAGGGTAGGTGTGGCGGGTGTGTGTGTGTGTGTGTCATGTGACTGGGTGGGAGTGACATTGAGTTGGCCATGCCCACCCAGGTTTTGAGGCTCCCGATGTTTTTTCTTTTCTGTGGGAAATGGCTCCAAATGGCTTTGTGTCAGGGCTCCAACAAATCCACCCCCATTCAAATCGTAAGTCTCTAGCCGCATCTCTGAGAGTAAAAAAAAAAAAAAAAGATTTATTAGGAGTGACCATGTCGGCGTTTCCTGGTTGCAGCCGACACTAAAATACATCATTCATTTCCTCCTTGACCCTGGTCTTCCCCACACCCCATGGATGTATATTCTCCAATGGGACACATCCATAGCTCTCCAGTAATAATCTTGCGCACCAACAGCTTCGGCTGCCTAGCAATTATCTGAAGCATTTAAGGAATGCCCTACTTTCCCCCCCTCGCTTTCTGCTGGCAACTAAAAAGACCAAAGAAGTATTTTTTAGTTGACATTTTGAGTGTTTAAGGTTGCAGACCAGGGGGAAACTGTCACTTATAGAAGATGCTGAGTTGAGTCTCTCCTAACCTTGGGACGACCATCTTTGGCTGTGAATTTGGGGAGAGCTCCTGGAGAAGGACACCCAGACTCAAACCCGTCTTTTAGAGGGTGAAAACTGTATCCCTGATTAAATGCGGAAATTTTAAAGAAAACAAGGTTGACTAGGACCCACAAGATTGACTTATTCTTGACCGGCACGAGATTTCTGGGGGTGGTGGAAAATCACTGATGGCGTTACGTAGCTGGGTCGTGAGACGCTGCAAGAAAAACACCAAGCGCAGAGTGCACCAAAACCACCCCAGTCACATTTTTCTGTCCCTCTTCTTGTTTCTGAAACAGCCGCCATCGGCTACGAGAATTATTACGAGAGAACTGGACCCATGAAGAATTCCAACAGCCCAACAACCCAGAGTTGCGGAATGATGAAAAGGTAAAATTATCATTAGGATGGCTGTTTTCCATTAATGGGTGGAACTTTGGCACTTAGTTCCACCAGTTGTCATAAGCTGCCTTGGAGTAGCTGTTTCCCTTCCTTTAGTGAGAACCAAGAAAAATTTCCAACACATGAGCTAAATTAAGGAGAGAAGGGCAAAGTGAGGACATCCATCCGCTTCTTGTGACCTTCTGAAGTGGTGTTTGGCCAACTGCTGTAGAGAAGGTCTGCCTGAAAATGCATTATTTATTTATTTATTATGGCTGCTGTTCTCTAAAATACCCCTGAGGGGCACATACCAGAAATAAAATATCCAAACACTGACAAATGCGTGTTGCAATAGCATTAACGAAGGAGTTAAAAAGGTGGCGTCAAAATGTGTGTGTGTGTGTTGCAATGCACATTAAAAATAAAATAAAGTCGGGCTTTCATCATCTGTTTAGGGCTGTTAGCTTGGCTGGTTTTGTCTCCCTTGTCCCAAATCTTGTCCTTCAGAGCCAAGTTTTGCTCTTAGTTGAAAACCGAGAGGGAGTGGTGTCATTGAAAAGCTCAGGGCATATTTCTTATTGATCCACAGGTTCTCCGACTTGTTGCATGGCAGCACACGAAATGCTCCGGATAACATTATTTCCACAATAACCCCAACTGGTAAGGTTGGCTTTTCCAGGGAGAAATGCAGTAATGTCTTAGGTCCCAGCATCCTTGTGTTAAATCAGGTTCTGCTAAAGGGGTGGAGTGTTGCTCTGTGGGAACATCCAAAAATTCCCCTTTTTTTCTTTCCTTTTTGGCTTTCAAGTTGGGCTAAGCCCATCTCCCTAAGCCTCCCCCCATTCCTGGAAACTACATATAGCCACCCTAACAACAGACCAATTTTCAGGAAACGTAGTGCAAGAAAACTTCTTAGGATGGAGACTTGTCAACCTGGTTTGGGGAAAAGAAAGGCAGAATTCAGTTTGTCTGAAACAGATCTGTCGCCTTTCAAATGTGCTTTTCTTTTTTTTTTTATTTAAATATCTCTGGTTTTTCTTTTTTTCCAAAGTAGCAGCTGGTGAAATTTTTAGAAACAGAAATAGTTCGTTTGTGTTAGGTGGCACCACCTAGGCGGTAAGAGACGGATTTTAGAAATAGGAATGGTGACGCCGTTGTAATACATTCTCTGGACTTCTGGCTGGAAAAAGATATAAAACTTTGGAGTTTGGGTAAAAAATTTTTGATTCTGCCAGGAGTTAATTCCATTTTTTATTTTTTTTTGCAGCTGATCAAAGGGCGGACGGTGTCTATGCAGCAATTCATGTGGACGCCAACGCTGCCATGGACCATGATTACAGAGTTCTCTATGACTACACGGCCCAGGTAAGCCTCAAATCCTTGTTTAGGCAGCGTCCTTAAACAAAAGAGTATTTGTTACTCCGGAGTAACTCTCAGGGATCATCACTGAAAGTTACTCTTCTTCTTTTAATGACCCCATAATGACCCCATAATGACACCCTTGCGGGGTGGAGTCTGGGCAACTGAATGGAGCTGAGTGTTTACTGGCCAGATGCCCTTCCTGTTGCTAATGAGGAGTTTTGTTCGGCAGATAGATTCTCAGTGTGAATATACTGAGAAATATTTCTAAGTTATTCTGAACGTATATCATCATTCTAAGTTATCCTGAAGACTCCAAATTAGCTCGATTTTTACAGATAGCCCTCAACTAGTGAAAGCAGCCCTGAAAAAAGTGACTTATGACCGTTTTCCACACTTACGTCCGTTTTCCACACTTATATGACTGTTGCAACATCCCTCTGGTCATGTGATCAAAATTCAGAGGAGAGACTGACTCATATTTATGACGGTTTCAGTGTCCTGAGGTCCTGCGATCCCCTTTCGTGACCTTCTGACAAGCAAAGTCAGTGGGGAAGCCAGATTCACGCAACCGTGTCTCTAGTCTAGTTTTAACAACTCACTGAACAACTATGGCCAAGAAAGATCATAAAATGGGGCAAAACTAACGGAACTGTCTCGCTTAGCAACGAAAATTTGGGACTCAATCGTGGTCGCAAGTGAAGGACTGCCTGCATGTTAATTCCATCTTAACCTTTGCATTTTACCTGAAGAGATTTTTTCCCCATTTCTTTCCATTATTCCTCTTCCAGAACGAGGACGAGCTGGACATACGAGCGGGTGACATTGTCAACATCATTGAAGCCGGCGAGGATGGCTGGTGGACCGTAGAACTGGAGGGGCAGCAAGGATTTGTGCCCGGCTCCTATCTGGAGAGACTTTGATGGGAAGAACCCTTCCCGAGCGCTACCTTTTTTTATCAGCTAGAAATCTCTTTTTTAAAAAATCAAGTTTTTCCCTCTTTGCACGTGGCAGACGAAGAGCTACGATTATGCTCTTTATTTTAACATAAACGCCACCCTGCCTTTTAATTTTTTTTGAAGGACAATTATCAAAGAAAAGACATCCAAACTTGTGCTGATTTTCTCACCCTAGAAATGTTATATGTTCCCAAAGGTTTTATTTGCCTTGCTAAATCCAGCTACCCGTCCGATCCCATCAATGTTTTGGTAGAACCTTGACCGGTTTTCTACACGGCAATTTTTTTTCCAAAACTGTCTTTGCCATGCTCCATTGACGTTGGTGGAGTCAGAAACACCGTGGACTTTATAATAAATGATTGATTAAAGTGCATGTTTTGAAATGATTAAGATCTTGATTCCAGAAACAACGCTTTCCTTTCTTTTTCGCTCTGGGTGAAACCACGGCGGACTTACAAACCATCCTTTCTCTAGGGTTGCAATTCCGTTTTTGATTCAGGGTGGAGCGGAGGGTGGGTGGATCCGTCCTAAATGCTACCATCTCAGATTCTCAGCTCTTCGCAGAAAATGCATCTGCAAATTGTTCTAGCAGTGCACACACGAGCAACATTTGAAGTTTTAGCAGCTGACAATCTGACCCCAAATCGAGAAAAGGAAGTTTCTCAAAAAAAAATAAACACAAGATCTCTCCGGAGAGTTCTTTCGTTGCATTCAATATTGTCAAGACCTTTTATACGATGTTTCAGTTTGAACACACTGGTGGGCAGAAATGATGGCAGGAGTTAATATTCAGTATTACACCTATTATTTATCTGCTGCAACCTGTAACTGCACTAGCCATTTATGACCCCCTCCCCCAAATCATCTGGTTCCTAACTGCCCGCCTTGGGGGTGTCCAAAGTTGGCAACTTTTTAAGACTCGTGGACTCCAACTCCCAGAATTCCCCAGCCGGCCAAGATTGGATACCCCTTACTTAATGATTGCAGTTCCACAAAAATGCTGTTTTTCACATAACTGTCGTAAATTGCAAATAATTGTAAATGACTCCCTCTCTCCCAATTTTTTTTAATGTGATTCTGGAGGGCTGCGTCACAACTTTAAATCCTGGTTATAAGTACCTGCTTTGGGGTCAGTTCTAACTTTAAATGGTCATTACGCAGCCTGTCGTAAATCAAGGACTACCCGTGTGTTACGCAGGGAATTCTCCAGAAAGCACCCTAGTAGGATCACCAACCTTGTCCTTTCTTCTTCCTTGAGCAAGTGTGATCACCCTCCCTTGCAATCCCCCTCTAGTAACCAAGCTTAACGTTTCTTGCTTATTAATACCACAAGGAGTTGATTAGGCAACCGGCTCCCCCTTGGTCTCCTTTGCACCACTTGATTCCTTCATGCCGAAGAGGCCGCTAGTAAGACATCCTTTACCGCCAGAAACCAGTTAAGTGGGATGGCTTGTTGGGGGTTTTTGTAACCGGTTTGATGGATGGTGGGAGGAGAGGGGGCTGCCTGAAAAGGAGACCTTTACTTTGGGGTAAAGTATCGTGCTGCAGGGGGTGGGGTGGGGTGGGGTGAACCCCAAGGCTGGACCTCGTGGGAAAGCGGCAACCTTTAACCCCTCCCTTCTCCACCGGTGGCTTTGTCTGGTCACGTGGGCTCCCAGACGTGGGAATGAAACCGCTGCCTTTCAACGGAGAAGAGCAGGCCCTTCAGATCTCATTGTCAAAAGCGAGAGGGATTTGCAAAATCTGGGGCTCAGCTAAGCTGGAGAAACCCAGGGGAGGATGTCTTTCGGGGCAGGAAATACCTCTCTCTTTCTTACAAACTGTCGATTTCTCACCGCAGTAGGTTGGGTTTTTTTTTTTTTTTGCAGCCAATGTCCTTGACTTTGTGGTGCAAAACCAAGGGGAGAACACGACCTACGTAAACCTTTTAAAATGCCGCAGCTCCAGCTCGATCAGGGTCCTAGTCGACTGCTTATCTTTCGACAGGGACACCAACTGCGGCCGTCTTTTCGCATTTCTATGGAGTTAAAAAACAACAACAAACCAAGTGAGGAAACGGCCACCGAAGGGACGTTAAACACGAGACACGTAAGCCCAGCGGGAAAAGTCTTCCTGGGCGTCAGGAGGATTTGGAGGATTAATGAGTCAGGATGATCAGCTCTGATAATCTGCACTCTGCTAAAAAAAAAAAAGAAATCATTTCTCGTTCAATATTGGTGGAAATGAGGACTAACAATCTAAGCAGGACCACCTTAATTGCTGAGAATATTTTCAAACTAAGGAAAACCAACCTCAATTGACTTTTCTTTTCCTCTTGGTCTTTTAGTGCGGCTAGGACAGGCCCAGACTTAAAATTCATCCGTATAAATAATTGTACAATACGCAGCACTGGATAAAACTCTCAAAAACGATTAAAAAGGGTAACCATGGTTTAGTTTGGGGGAGATCTACAGAAGATTTATTTAATTCGGTTTCCTATTTCCTATTTACATTTCACTTTATCACATTCTACTTCGCTACTCTAGGATAACAAGTCACTCGATACAGAAACAGACCCATTATAGTAAAAAATGAAAATTTCCTTATAGAACAGTAGTGCAAGACATTACACTCCTGAAAAAGCCAGCTCGTTTTTTGTTTTTAAACACGCTAAAAGTTCGGAAGGTTTGTTCATTTGAATTTAAGGAAGGCAAGAGATGCACTAATATAGGATTCTAAAATTCCGATGAGTCGTCATTTCGTAGTGTTCTGGACTGGACTTAATGCTTTGCTTTTTTAAAAAAGAAACAAGACAAGAAATACTGGTGAGAGGCAAGCAGCAGCAGAATTAAAACTTCACAAAATTAAGATCAGTGACCTCCCTTGTACAACTCTGACCGGCGATGCCACTCAATAAACTCTGAAGGATATAAGAATAAATCACTGCACCCTTTTAAGATATAGTTAGGTCACCCATAGCTTTCATGCCATTTAAAATGAAACGGATTAAAAAAAACAACACCTCGTGTTACTCAGTGGCTACCGTGGATAAAGTGGGAAGCTGGCTAAAGGAGAAGGAGGAGTCGGTAATATGGAAGGGACTGAAAGCCAAGCTTTGCCCATCACCGTGTGTAGGGGCTAATTGTCCAGGTTTAGGAAAGAGACTGTGGCTGCCAAGTCAGAGTCAGTGGGAACTACTGCGGAGGCAGATGACGTTGCCAAGCTGGCTTTTGAGTGCAGAAAAACGAGACTTCGGGCTTCGCCTGCGGACCTTCTTCTAGGCGTAAGTCCCCCCGGTGATGAGTAGCTCGTAGGCAGGATCCCGACTCCTTCTGCACAGCACAATGCAGGCACAGAGCATGCCCAGCAGCTACGAGGAAGGAGAGAAGGAGACTTGAGTATGGACCGGCACGATTTAAACTAAGAATTGGCTTTTGGGTTAAGCTGGCTGGGGACGCAGGCGCACAACGTGGGATACCATCAAGATCAGGGGAGGTACTAATACCACTCTATAAAACCTTAGTGAGACCACATCCAGTTTTGGTCACCACACTATAAAAAAGGATGTTGAGACTCTAGAAAAAGTGCAGAGAAAAGGGCAACCAGGAGGATGTGGGGACTAGAGGATAAAACACAGTATGAACAGTTGCAGGAACTGGGCTTGGCTAGTCTAGGGAACAGAAGGACCAGGGGAGACAGGAGAGCGGTCTTCCAATATTTGAGGGGCTGCCCCAGAGAGAAGGAGAGAGTCAAGCTATTTTCCAAAGCACCCAAAGGTGCTTTTTTTTTTACAATTGCTGTAATGCCGACATTTGTGTGCTTTGGGTCCAACGCACTATTTACACAGACTTTGAGGAAACGTACGTGAGCTGTGAATCCTGGAAACGACCTCATTTTAAGTTTTTACAAGGACGCCATTAGATGTCTTGTGCTCAGAAAGTTGTAAAGCGTCATCAAATATTAGCTGTCCTGGGTGGAACGGCATCTATTTGCAACTTTTCAAGGGGCGTTTATGCAAGTGGAGAAAATGAAGGGTTTTATTTTTAACCCCAGGAGAACAAGCCGGAGTGTTGAATCCTACCTGAATAGCAGCAAATGCCAAGGCAGCCCAGATAACATACATCATGATCTCCTGTAGCTTCTTTACTACCAAGACTTTACATCCCTGAAACGCAAAGGAGTCCATCAGTTGAGGAAACAAATCTTCAAGCTTATTAATGCTGCACCCTGGAACAGCTACAATCTCAAAACGCTTTGATATCCACGTGAATTATAAAATTGAACTCTTTATTGTCACTGTATGTATATACACAGTATGCATACAAAGAAAATCACATAACACCCAGAGACCAGACTCAACACCTGCACACACGACAATCCCCAAACCCCCACCCCCACCCAAGGTTCCCCACCCCCTAAAAACACACAAGCATCCACACAACAGACCAGGTAATCCTGTCCAACAGCTCACTGATGGTGGTCCTTAAGTTCATTGTTAAGTGCAATTATAGCTCTGGGATAAAAAGTGTTCAGGAAACATGAGGTCCGAGTTTTAATCGTTCTGTAACTTCTGCCAGAAGGCAACAGTTCATAAAGACTGTAAGCAGTCTAAAATGTACATTCTATTGTATTTTTTGTATACATGAAGGCAGTAGTGGCAGTCGTTTCTAACTGTTGTAAATTAAAAAAAACATGCAATGTAATTAATATAAAGGGAAAGACACACACACACAAAACATAAAGAGGTACTAGTAAAATATAATAAGCAAGGCAAAACACTTCCTAATACAATGAAAAAATTAATAGAAAGCAAATTTAATTACTGTCCTCATACACCAACACAGCATATAGGAATTATATTGTGTGTAGTATATTATAAGGGCGGCATGGTGGCCTAGTGGTGAAGATGCTCGCCTCCCACTAGGAAGATTGGGAGTTCAATCCAAGGTAGTGGCAGATGTTTCTTTCCTGGGTGGCAAAGAAATAAAATATCTGCTCCGAACTCTGCACAGGCGTCAGGAAGGGCATCTGGCTAGTAAACGCTCGTCTCCAACTGAGTTGCCCCGAATTAAGGTCATAAAAGGAAGTTTTATTGGCAGTATATTATAAAAGGGCTGGAATAGTAGCAGAATGGGCAACAGTGGAAAAATAGCAATGAATGCTGCCTCTTATAAAAGAGCTTATCAAAAAATATTAAGTCCTCTAAAACAGGGGTCCCCAACCACCGGTCCGTGGACCGGTACCGGTCCGTGGAACAAGTCCTACCGGGCCGCTGGTTTGCTGGGCGCCGCCATCTTTTTTTGATGAAAAAGTGCTTCCGGTGAGCTTTTCCGGGTAGAAAGCTCACCGGAAGCACTTTTTCATCAAAAAAAGATGGCGGCGCCCAGCTGATGCCAGTACCAGGCCGCGGCGCCCAGCTGATGCCGGTACCGGGCCTCGGCATAAAAAAGGTTGGGGATCACTGCTCTAAAAGAATGAAGCCCATCAGACCAGAGAGACAGCATGCCCAACCTGGATATGAATGACCACTTGATTTCTAATTAAACAACCGGACCTTAACTAGCAGAGCTACAAGCTTGGATGGTATGGGTTATTGTGCTGTAAGATTTAAACGAAGATTTGGACTTGGAGTGGGCTGATCTTGCACAAACCCTTAGCCTCCTTCTCAACGTAAGCTTCGATCGAAAACCTGGCAAAATGAAGAGAAGCCAGTCACCTCAGAATAAAGGTCCGCAGGGCGAGAGAAGCTTCCCGTGCAATTGCTGACGGTGGCTTTGCAGCAGCTGAGGGGCACGCTGTGGTTTTTTGCTTCTTTGAACCAGGCGGTGAACTCCCAGTCTGTGTAGTTGTGGATCCCGCAGCAGTGCAGCTGCAACGAGAGAAAAATGCGCGCAGAAAATCAAGAGCCGGCTCTTCAGAAAGCCGTGCGAGGCTTTCAGACGCAACGTTAACTGAAGCACGGATCCCCGACCTTTGTAACTTTTAAAGACTTGTAGGACTTCAACTCCCAGAATTCCCTAGCCGGCCCAATAAATAAACACCCCCTCCCCTTCCATGTTTGGGGTGTGTGTGTGTGAAGGAGGACCGGGCGTCTCTTATTTTCAGCCATCGTCTAATTCTGCCCAAACTGCACGTCTTCTCTCTTTTCAAAATGACTCAGGACATTAACAAAGGCTGGTTCCAAACCACACACTGTCACCTCACCTGGTGCAATGTCACGTTTTCTCCCCCAGCAGCGTTCCTACAGAGCCTGTCACTTTCACAGAGGTGAAATCCATCTGAGGAATCCGCCCGTGGCACGGCTTGTTTTATCCTCCCCCTGCCCCCCCACAACAGGAGGTTCTCACCAAAGGGAGCGAGCCTCTTCAGATAACCTACAAACAAGCCAGATCTTCCTGGTGTTTTTTTTTTTGGGGGGGGGGGGGAGAGAGGAGAGGAGAGTATACTCTTAACTCCCTGGCTAGTCTTTTGAAAGAGGATTTTTAAAAAAAGGCATTAGAATCAAATTAAACCAAAAATAAGATTAGTAGCAACATCTAAACACC